ATCTATTTGGTTATGAAAAAAGTTGAAAAGAAGAGTAAAGAAATTTTGTACTCTATTTTATTTGCTTTTAATTCCTCTCCTCCCGAATTAAATATTTTACATTAAATTTCTAATTTGGTTCTTGAATTATTATATGAACTCTCGATTTAGTTCTTGAACTAAAAAATATTAATTTGATCCCTAAACTATTGTATGAACTCCCAATTTGATCTTTACTGTTTACCAATTTGCTCCAAGTTAGTATTCCATACAAAAAACAACTAACGTGTTTCGTTATTAACGTGATACGTGACCATTAAATAACCGTTAAATAATGGACATACCAGTTGTTTTTTGTATGAAAAGATCAACTTGAAGTAAATTAGTAAACAAGAGAGACAAAATTAGGGGTCTATACAATGATTCAAAGACCAAATTCTGAATTTTTTAGTTTATAAACCAAATCAGGGATTCATTTGATAGTTCATGGACCAAATTAGGGTTTAACCCATATTTTATAAAAACAGTACTTTAGTCCTAGGAGCAAACTGAAAAAACAATTTCCGTTATCTAAAATAAATAAAATTCTTATTAGATTTTCTTTGTATTTCCTCGCTTTATATTCCTTTTTCTTTGTTTGTCTTTTTGTTTTTAAAAATATGAAGATCATGACGTCTTGACGTTCAAGACATCCATCACAATTATTTATTAAATGGATCCTGTTCTCGGAACTCACACAATGGATAGTTATGATTGATGTCATTTTTTTAAAAATAAAGATAATAGTTAGTAAGTTAGTATTATTATATATTAACAACTGAGAATTTGATCTTTAAATCTGATGAATAACCCACTTGCCTCAATGAGACGCGCGGCCATCAAACCGCCTCGATGGAGTTGATTTACATCATAAGCATCAAGATATTCCGATGTTCCAGGCTCTTTTTTGTTTTTTTATTCTTTTAAAAAGGAGGAGAAGAAGAAAGAAAGAAAATTGAAGACTGCGTTGATTAATATTTTTGGTTTTGAAAGACTGAAACTATCTTATCCCAGGCCTCAGCCCTCGGCACTCGGCAGGCCAGCCCGGCCAGGACCGTCCATTTCTTGAAATTTTACAGTTTTTAAGAAGTCAACCACTTGAACTTTACACTTGAAAAGAAAAAGGGGAAAATATTGTGGGCAAACTCACAATTTCATTTAAATTTAAAGAGAACCTCATATTTCACCCTTGGAATGAAATAATAATTTTAACAAGTTTTGACCCCCATAAATTATTTGTCTATTTACACGTAGGAGCAGTGCTACTGCTACGGGCACTCGCCTCCTGCACTCACCAGCCAACACATGCTATTTTTTGGGCCACGTAAGCTTGCGTAGCCATGAAATGATTAACTCTCCTGAAACCAGCATAACGTGGCCCAATGAAAATGGAAGTGTTGGTTGGAGAGTGTGCTAATGGCGAGTGTTCCTAGCATTGCTCTTACATGTAGAAGCTCTTTTGGGTATCCTCCTTTGGAGCATGTTTGGTAAATTTTATAAGTGTTTTAAATTTTGTATATTATTTATATTTCATAAATTTAATTTTTTTTAAAATTATATTTTTAAATTTTTTTAATTTTTAAAAAATTTTAAACAGTAAATTTTTAAAAAAACTTTAAATTTTTTTTTATTTTTTTACTCATTTTTTATTATTTTTAAAAATAACTTAAAATTTTTTTTTATTGATTTATGAATAGTACAAAAAATAAAAATACAAAAAACCTCCACTGAACAAGCCTTAAGTTTTCGATTGCACTCCTAAGAGTGAAGATTAGAACAAAACAAATTTGTGTATGACTTTGACTACCTTACCATAACAAAAAATTATTTTATATTTCAAATTATTTCGTATTATAAAATATTAACTCTTAAATAAGGTACGGTTTCTTTATATTAAGGAACCTCACTCGTCTAAAAGTTTTTATTTTATAATTCTATGAAAGACCCTTAACATAAAATGGAGACAAGCTTTGGGAAACCACTCTTCCATTTCTACCTACTTCTAATGGTCCAAAAACAGCTTCAAATCCGGACTATTGCTAACATAACTTTCCAGGTCCAATTCCTTCACAACTAGAAATCAATTTAAGAGCGGGTTAACTAAGGGAGGCCTATTGCTGTTTTGGACTTTAGACGCTTTCCATCTCAATCATGCTTTTACCCTTTAGTCAACAAAAAAGACTCCTAAACTATAAATGGACTTTGAACACCGTAATTCGCTACTCGCACCTTTGAAAATGCTGAAATGCTCCTGCTTGGAAACATCAATAATATGCCAACAGACATGCATAATATAAAGAGATTATACATTAACTTCCTCGACTAATCTACCACTACCAATTATCAGTTCCTATGTATATTGGATCATCATCACACTGTTTCGCAAGGTAACAGTGACAGTAGCCCTTTTTAAACTTGTAAGTACTTTAAATGCTCAAAAATAACATCTTTGCCTTTTTTCTTTTTCTTTGTGTGTGTGTGTGTGTGTGGTAATAAAAAGATCTTTTCCGTCAACAAGTTCTGGAGAGAAAATACTTATAAGCAACGTAGCTTTGCCAAACAAAATAGTCTTAATTCTTAAAACTTCATAGTATATAATCATCCAAGACAAAGAGGCAAAAAAGCGTAGCTGATATTCTAAGAGGTAGCAGCTCAAAAACAAAACCAAATGGCTTTACATTTGGGGAGAGATAAAAGTAGAGGTGTATTTCTGCCCCCAATTGTTACTTTGCTTATCAGGTAACTAATACTTCACTACAAAATAGAAAAAAAAAAAATATATATATATATATATATATAATCCCCAATATTGTTTCTAGTTCAAATAATTAGATTCATCATAGATAACTCAAATTTCTAGTGTTATTGATCTAAAACTCGGGTCATCCATAAAATAGATAATGAAGAAATAACGAGCAAGCAAGAACAAGAAACATGTATAAACAACTAGTGGATGGTGGTGTATGTTGAAAATAAGGATGATGGTGGTAATGTCATGCAATCTCTTCATTTTTAAACTATGGAGGCAGGGTATCATATTGAAAATGAAATACAATCACAAGAACATTTGGGATCTTTAAGACCCATTTCATAACCAAATTATCAACCTCAATCATCGAAACATGGTAACCACAAATTAAAATCGAAACAATAGTTAGAAAACTAGCTGAAATTGCATTGCTACATTTACCATGATGTTACATGATCACCCATGAGGCAGTGGGCTACAAGAAATAGAACATCTAAATACAAGAAACCAGAAGAAAAAAAAAATGACAAAGAAAGAAAGAAAACTAAAAATGGTACCTACAATGTCCCCAAACCAAGCCTCAGCATTCTTCCCCCTTCATCCGACTACACCAAATCAGCAACTCTCCTACTGACAACGGAGGCACCTGCCGCACTGTGCTTCCTTCTGTTCTACCCAAAATTAACGACAATACGAAATTGGATTCAGGATAATTATACTCACAACGGGTTCTTTCGTGGCCTTCCCCTCTTCCTCGGTGCTGAATTGGTTGCAGTCCTATCAGAAATATGCACCACTGGCGCTGCTTTATTCCTTCTTTCCGCCCCTTTACTGGCGGTCGCAGGGGCGGCAACATTGGCATTTTTCCCACCCTGCTGCTGCCCAGCTGAAAACACTGGCGGCATCCAATTGGGGAACCCAGCGCCTGCTCCGGGAGCAGCCTTTCGATCATCATCTGGGTTTCCCATGACAAACCCTAAGGGGAAAAGCGACCAGCAACAGTAATAGGCTTCTTTTCCAGGGACCATTGGCGGCAAATTCTGAATCAACACAGCGTGAAAAGCCCGATTACAATTCTGGCACTTCAGACAACAACCTATGTAAACCCTTGGGTATTCGAACAACCTGTAACAGTATGGACATGCAGTCCAGAATGTCGACAGTCTTGACCTAGGATCTCCAGAACTGCTGTTTTTGTTATTAACATCTGCTGATTTCTTGACATTTCTGGTCTGATTCATAGTCTCCGCTCTTCTTACGGGCAATTTGGAGTTGCTGCTGCTCAAATCGACCTTCGTGAAGAGAGTCAATTCCTTGTCGTAGAGAGTTTTTTTCGAGTTATTGGAGAGAACTGCCCACGCGTCGGCTACGAGCTTGAAGGCCTGATCCGCGAAAGTGAATTTGTTCTTGTCTGGGTGGAGGAGGAGCGCGAGACGCCGGTACTGCTTCTTGATTAGATCGTGGTCGTCGGATCGGCGATCGATTTGCAAGATAGCGTACCAGTCGTGGTGGTTGTTTACCCGCTTCTCGGCGGCGAGGAGCACGTCGGCTACGGCCACGATTTGATCTGAGCCGTCCAGCAACGGCTCAGTCTCCTGAGCCAAGATGGCGAAATCTCTGGAGGCGTTGAAATCACGGTTCTGGAGAAGCTTCTCGGCGATCCCCAGGAGGCGTAAAGCTTCAGCTCTGTTAGAGTCTTCCTCCATTTTCTGGCGTTACTGGCCGTTTGGACGGCGAGAAAATGACGGAAATATATCGAAGCTAAAATGGGGAATATGTCGATATTTACCGAATAGACGGAATTAGGTTTCAATATTGTTTAATGGTGAAAATAATGGGGGCGTAAGTGTCTTTTCATGTGAGACCATGGATTTTCAAGCATGACACACGTTAATTATTTGGGAAATTGCAAACTCGGTCCACTTGTGGTCCCAACTCAACTCAAAATCCCATTCGGTAGATCCAAATCTCTGTTTGAGTTTGAGTTTGACTCTGATTCTAGAAAATGACAAATAACCTCTAATTTTGGAAGAGATTTATTTTCCAAAAAAAAAAGAAAAAAAAGAAAAAAAAGAAGAAGAAGAAATTAGCAGTGTTGTTGGTACCATTTTATACCGATCGAATATGGTGGATACATATTGATTTTTTAGTTTGGTTAAAATGAAATAAAATTGAATTTTATTTTTGTCAATTTTTGATATATTAATCGGTACATCAAAATTTAATTAAAACACTTACGTCCAAATGAAAAAAAAAAAAAAAAAAAAAAAAAAAAAAAAAAGAGACTCCCTTTTTATTTGCGATTTCATTGCATATTGTAGATCTCTGTTGTTGTTCTCCACTTCTCCTTCCTCACAATTCACGAACCTCATTATCAACTTGTTGTCGATGGGCTATGCTCCACTTCTTCTCTGTTGCTGCCATTGCTTCCTCCTTCCATTTTTGTTTCTCGAGATTGGAGAGTATCTTTCGGGCACCGAAACAAGGCAATCAAAAGCCATCGCCATTCTTTGTCCCATCTGCATCCTTAGCCTAGTGAGGCCTTACGAAATCCTTTCTTCCCAAGTTGCCAGCATCTTTTTGCTTAGTTCCTCTGGTACATTAGCCTTTATCTCTTCACCACTCTCAACAGCCCAACTCCGTCTTTCCGGTATGAGTTCATTTTCTTTTTCGATTTAAAATTTCAGATTCTTAGGGTTTGACCAATGACAATGGGCATTGTGTATGTGTTTGACAGTGGGTGATTGTTTTTCTTTTTTTATTTCTCTGCATTTTGCATGCATTTTTCTCTGCAGTGGATTTTTCTCTACGCCATTTGCAATTCGATTTTCTCCTGATGTGCCTGATTGCAATTCATGAATGATGAAATAATTGTGTGGCAATGGATGACTATTATTCTTTTGAGGATACTTATAATTATGTTCTAGATAATTAATAATGTTAATTTTGTTATTTGTTCATAATTGTTCTTCGGTATAAACAATTGAAGAACCCCTCCGATGAACCCGATTAAGTGTTTGTTTTTATTATTGTAATATGAATGACAATTGCTTTTTTGACTTATTTAAAAATTTGACAATTGCTTTTATAATTATTTGAAAATTTGATATATAATTTATAAAAATATATATTTATAACTATAAATCCAAAATAATATACAAAATAATTTGATATCGATAGGTATCATTTCAATAATAAAATTAGGAAGTATGCCAATACATTATTAACAACATTGGAAATTAGACTCCATCCATCCATTAAAAAAAAAAATGAAAAGTTCTGAAGATTGACAAGGAAAAAGGGCTCCATATGATATGAGCAATAAAAAAAGAAAGAAAGAAAGAAAGAAATAAAGGTGTACTCCATTAAAAAAAAGTACAAAACAAAGAATTTTTTTTTTTGGCCGTCAAGAAAGATAATGCTTATTTAAGTGATATTAGTATGTATTAGTTTTAATTTTTTTAATAAACTTTTAATTTATATTTAAAAATTAAAATTATAATTTAAAA